GAGCTTGTTGCTGACTCTTAAAAGGTTGGAGCCTTAGTAAGCGATTCCTGTCTGTCCTGCACAGACCAGACCGCCGGGTGCTGGTCTGCGCTCTGCCGCGTGCCAACTGGGACAGCCCACCCACGAGATCCTTGTTCGTGAAATCCCTTTCCCTCCCTCATCTGCCAAGAAAACTTTCAACTTTTGAGCTCTCCGCTCCGCCCAAGCTTCCTCGAATCCCTGGGCCCTTGACTGTTCTCCCCTGACGGCATTTTGTGAGAGATCCATTGAGAGCCCTTTCCGTGCTTCCCTAAATAGTGCTACGTTTTCCACCCTCTCCTCCCGCGCTGTCCCAAGGACTCATTTTCCGTCCCTGCCTCGTCACTAAAAAGAGGGTGCCCAATAATTGCTTGTTCCGTACAGAAGGGAGGGAGACCGTCTCTAGGTTTTCTCAAACTCCTGACCTCAGGTGATCCGCCTGCTTCGGCCTCCCAAAGTGCTGGGATTACTGGCGTGAGCCACCCCGCCCTGCCGGAATGAAGATATTTCTGTTAATGCGATTTTTGTGCCAATCCCTTTGCTCTTTCAAATAAACATTACCGTACCCATTTTAGCAGTGAGGCAACTGAAGCCCAGACAGGTTAAATAACTTGCCCAAAGCCTCGCAGCAAAGTTGAAGAAGCAAAACTGGGCCTGGAATCCACTCGTCTAATCCCCTGGCACATGACGCAAGGCTTGACCCTAGATGGACTCGTTTCCAGACAGAGCTTTGGCGAGGGAGTGTCTTGGGCAGCTTAGAAGATGAGGAAAGGTGAATGGGAACCAGGCCTTGGGTTATGAGCTGCGCAGGGTTTTCCAGCATCTCAGATGCAGGCGTTTAGAGGAAGAGATATAATGGAGCAGGTCCTACTCAGAGCCACGAAAAGGAATGAGGACAGTTGGCTCTAACTCGAAACAAAAATAGGGTAGGGTAAACCCAATCAGTCAAGCGCAGCAACCTGCTCCGTGGCATTCTGACTCATCAGAAGCTGAGGTTCTCACCAGGACTTTCTAATGAGCTTCGCTGTTTGCTACGGCTGGCCGCGGTCACTTCACTTCAGCCTTACTCCTGGCCTGGGGAAATGGGCTGGGCCCCTAGTAGCTCCGGGTGGGAAGAAGGGTGGAGAGGAAGGAGGGGCGAAAAGGGAAGGCGCGAAATCTACAAATGTTCAAGCCAGCTGGAACTCCGATTCCTCTTTGCCTTTTAGGGAAATTGACTCCAATCGGAACTCGAGGACCTTTCGCAAGAGACCATTGGGTTAGGGGACAGAGCTGGTAATAGAATCCAGGGCTCCCAACTCTGAATCCTGTGCTCTTTTTGCTGCTGAGGCTCAGGCCACAACACCCCAAATTGTGACTGTAGAATACCAAAATATGCTATCCCAAAATACACTTCTTTGCCACATTTCAAGCTGGTTATTCTGAGAAACTGCAGACACGGGAATAGTTCTGAAAAGCTGTCCTTTTGTAAAGCAAATTTACATCTATAAAGGAAGTCCACATAGTAAAAGTATCTGTGTCAGGAAAGCAGCTGCTCAGAGACAACTTTTGTTACCTAAGAGACTTTATCTGCATAACAAGGCAATTTTTTTTTTTAAAGACAGAGTCTTGCCCTGTTGCCCAGGCTGGAGTGCATTGGCATGATCCCAGTTCACTGCAACCTCTGCCTCCTGGGTTCAAGCGATTATCCTGCCTCAGCCTCTGCAGTAGCTGGGATTACAGGCGCATGCCACCACGCCCAGCTAATTTTTGTGTTTTTAGTAGAGACGGGGTTTCACCATGTTGGTCAAGCTGGTCTTGAACTCCTGACCTTGTGATCTGCCCGCCTCAGCCTCCCAAAGTGCTGGAATTACAGGTGTGAGCCACTGCGCGCGGCCACAAGGCAACATTATTTACCATACATTTCCTCTACTAACCCTCCTATAACCTGTGGCGCCTCCCCACTGTCCCCACTGAAGCCCCAAGCCTCTATTTATTTCTAGCTCAGAATGCTATAAACTTCAATCACCTGGCCCTTCATGTTTTGTGAGATTCCTGTGCTGCCGCCTATGCAGGTAATTAAAATGGTTTTTCTTCTGTTAATCTGTCCTATGTCAATTTAATTTGCAATCCAAGCAAAGAACCTACAAGGGTAGAGGGAAGCCATTTTTCCCTCCCCTGCATTGCTATTTCCATGCCTATGTGAGAGGACTCTGAAATGTGGATGTCTGCCACCTGAAGAAAGAGTCTTAGTAACCTGGGGACTTGGCCAGACAGGGTGGCTCACACCTGTCATCTCAGCACTTTCAGAGGCTGAGGTGGGTGGATCACCTGTGGTTAGGAGTTCGAGACGAGCCTGGCCAACATGGCATAACCCTATCTTGACTAAATATACAAAAATTAGCCAGGCGTGGTGGTGGGCACCTGTAATTTCAGGTACTCAGGAGGCTGAGGCAGGAGAATCACTTGAACCCAGGAGGCGGAAATTGCAGTGAGCCAAGATGGTGCCATTGCACCCCAGCCTGGGCAACAAGAGCGAAATTCCATCTCAATAAATAAATAAATGACCTGGGGACTTGTAGCCTCTATTGAAAGGTACCAGAAAAGGACAAAGCCTGAGTTTTCGAGCCAGGAAGTTGCAAATTCTAACTCTACCAAGAAGTGGCTAGGTGACCTCCAAGCTTCAGTTTCCTCATCTTCAGAACCAAGTTAATAGCGTCAGAGGCATTTGAACCAGAGAGACTCCATCTTGAATAGGGACTGTAAAATAAAGCTGAGACCTGCTGGGCTGTATTCCCAGAAAGTTGAGGCATTCTTAGAGGATGAGATACAAGATACAGGTCACAAAGACCTTGCTGGTAAAACAGGATGTAGTAAAGGAGCCAGCCAAAACCCACCAAAACCAAGATGGCAACCAAAGTGACCTCTGGTAGTGCCCACTGCTCATTATACACTAATTATAATTCATTAGCATGCTAAAGGACACACCCACCAGCACCAGGACAGTTTACAAACATTAGGGAGTTACCCTATATGATCTGAAGGAGGAAGAACCCTCAGTCCTGGGAATTGCCTACCCCTTTCCCGGAAAACTCATGAATAATCCACCCCTTGTTTAGCATATAATCAAGAAATAACTATAAGTATACTTAGTTGAGCAGCCCATGCTGCTACTCGGCCTATGGAGTAGCCATTCTTTATTCCTTTACTTCTCTAATAAACTTTCTTTCACTTTATGTACTTGCCCTGAATTCTTTCTTGCGTGAGGTTCAAGAACCCTCTCTTGGGGACTGGATCAGGACCCCTTTCTGGTAACAATATACTTACTTTCTGTTCAATCACATTTCTACATGGCTGTCCATACTTTGTTGAATGTAAACGTAAGAATGGACATTTTGGCCACGGGTGCGCTGGCTCACGCCTGTAATCCCAGCACTTTGGGAGGCCAAGGCGGGCGAATCATGAGGTCAGGAGATTGAGACCATTCTGGCTAGTATGGTGAAACCCTGTCTCTACTAAAAATACAAAAAATTAGCCTGGCACGGTAGCGGGCGCCTGTAGTCACCGCTACTCAGGAGGCTGAGGCAGGAGAATGGCGTGAACCCGGGAGGCAGAGCTTGCAGTGAGCTGAGATCAGGCTCACTGCATTCCAGCCTGGACAACAGAGCGAGACTCTGTCTCAGAAAAAAAAAAGGAAAGGACATTTTTCCTGTATCTTTGGGTCTTCATTCCGAAGGCTCCCCTGGCATGTAAAACTATGCTCAAATAAATTTGTATGCCTTTTCTCCTT